ATTCTCGTAATGGAACATTTCAGTGTGAATAACTACACATAGTATGACCGGTAATGATATAGTAGTATATTATTATACTCGATATTACATAACAAGAGAAGTAAGAAGCTCCCATTACTACTCGAGTAATGTACTATCCTTTATCTACAACCACAATCATAAATTCATAATAAAGAGAAGGCTTTCATAATCTGTTACATTTATTAAATACAATAATTACTTAAAAAATCATTAATTCTTAACATAATAATTAAAAGTAAAATATTAGCAACTTTTAATAATTATGGGTTCGTTAGTATTTTTAGGTATTTCAAATGAAGTAGATGGTACGTAAAGAGGTGATGTAGTTTATATAAAGAAATAAAACTTTATTTAATTACTGTCATTTATTTCATCAGCAGAATTTTATTTTCTGCTCTTTTGCTTTTAAAACCATCAGACTGCCTTTTGAGTTATGCCTTTAGTTTTGAGTAGGTTCGTTTCAATATTCACATTATTTTTTATGGAAATGACGGTTCTTAACATATAATACATAGCCCACAATAATGAAGGTTTGAATTGTTCCATAAGTCCTCCAAAATATGCTGCCAAAAGTACAATAGGGAGTTGAAGTGATGTTATAAACGTAAACGTATACGTGAAATTTGACATCTGCGCATGCCTATTAAAATATCCTTCACGTTTACGTCTACGTACATACGTAAACTTACGGGCTCTGGCGTATACACGTAACGCAAACAAAATAACCTCTTTTGAATAGGAAAAGTAGAAATTTCAATATAATATGTCATTAATTGTCATTATTTGTCATGATACGTTTAACAACTTCAACTCATATTTTGTACAGCAACGTAAACATTATTTTTCTGCGTTCACGTTCACGTTTACGTTAACGTACTGGAAATACTTCAACTCTCTATTATCAAAAAATGAGTTTACGTTATTTTTATGTGCCAGTCTATAAACTTTTGCTACACTATTTCATACCTTGCCCTTGATTTAGAGGGCAGTAACTTGTCAGTAAAATTAGCAGCTTTTTCAAGATTATCAGGGGGAGCTCCTTGAAATTAATTTCCATTTTCTAACGAAATAATTTTTTATTCCTTTAAAAAAATAACTTTGTAACTACAAAATTGTGATTTTCTATTTCTGAAATGTCAAAAATATTTATCGTAACCTAGGCGATCACCTAGCAACGGAATAATATGGCTAGTTTGATAAATGAAACTGTTATGTAATATATTAAATTACGTAACAGTCTTGGGATTTCATTACGTTACACTATCTGTAATGATGTATTTAGGTACTTAAAAACAAAACGATACATAATAGAAGATTTACTGTGGTGGTTGAAGATAAAACAAATTGTGTTTATGTCAACTTTCCTGCAATTAAGAGTATTTATAGATTTCGTTAAAGAGAGGTAGGGTAGTAGTTACTTCATTAGGTATATTCACTTACTGAGTTTTTGAAAATGTGAAAAAATAGCTATTTCTGTATAAAGAGCAGAAAGTGATACATTACCGCTTGAGACAGAAAGTTGCATGCGTGACAATAAACTGTTTACTCGGATATTTTAAGAAATAGAGGTTGTGGGATCTTATCTTTGAGAAAGTGAAACTGTAAAAATATATTTACTAACGAAAACGACATGTATAAAAGTAATAGTAAATAATCTGACTCGTAGTAACCGGGGTGAGTTTAATAATTTGTCTTTTACGAGGACTGCCACATCAATAGAGTGGCAGGTGTTTGACGTATGTAGTACGCGTGAGTCACTACAATACTTTTTCTCTTTTTACATGGCAACATCTTTAGTATTGCCTTTCATGTCGATTTTATTTTGGGGTTAGTTAAGTATCAATGTTAAAGAACGGATGTCATAAATTATGTTACGCTTAACCCTTCGTTAGTCGTATCATTTAAGTTTTTTTTTTTACTATTATTGTTGACATTGTAGTTCTATGACATTTCAGAGGCACAGAATAGTTTGCCTGAATGGACCGCACTATTTTTATTTCATTGCAAATGATCACTAGCTAATGACCAATTGACATAACGCGAATATCTCGTGCATATTTGCCTAGAACCACTTCAAAATTTGGTTAAAATTGTATAATAGTATAGGGAAAGTAAAAATTAATATTAAAAAAATATGCATGGCCTCTTATGCATGTGCAACCTTTCTCATTCCTAAAATTTGGTTTAAATTGTACCAACAACAAAGACAGAAAATGTTCCTAAGTAGAAAATTTCGTTTATTCTAAATAAATCAGTATATTTTAAGTATATTTATATTTGACTAGACTAACAACAAAGACAATATCACAATAATTAAGCATAAGATTTTATTATTTTTAGTTATTAAGTTATTAATCTAAATATTTTTGGTGGGCGCGAGGTGATTATTGGCTCTTAAAGCTTTACTGGTTACCGCATTAATTGTGCATATTTTGGCATATATTAAACGTTAAACCATTGGGGAAAAGGCACTGTTGTCTTTATTTTTTTTTTAAGTTGCTCTTAGTTTAAGAACACCACATATCTATTTTCATGAAAAATTGTTTGAGTTTCCGAGTTATTGGAAAAATCAATTTTAAATTTATAATTTCAAATGCATATACCTAACTTTTTTTCTAAGCACTTTTGTATACACGTAACCGGTAACATCTTGGTCTGTAGAGCCAACAGTTTTTTTTAATCTGTTTTCAAAGCAAGATGTATATCAGATAAAACAATAAAATTTAGAAATAATTTCAATTATACAGGGTTCTCCAGGAAGTGATACATATCTAAGTTAGTTGTTTTTTATAATACCTACTTTATTATCAGTCTATTAATGGCATTTTTAAGTTCATTTTGAAAAACCCAAAACTAACAATTCGTTATTATAATGTCATTAGTGTTGCAATATTTATCCCGCGTTTTTTAATATGATCCTTATTCGTAAATAAAAGAAGTATTTCAAGTCTTATTTCGGAAATGCTTAGAAACGTGAGTGGGACCTTCGAAGACATGAGTCTTTAGGCCCTCCATAAATATTATTGGAGACAACTTAGAGAAATTTTTGTAATTAAATAAAATCTTCCAAAATAACACTTAAAAAACTTAGAACAAAGTAGGTAGGTATTATGTGAAGTTTGTGGTTGCTATTTTTATTTTTTTACTGAATGTGAAAAAGTCGAATTAGGTATTTTCACTTGATAATAAATTACAGCTGGTTTAATTGTAATTACTAATTAACAAACCCAGTCGATTTCCTACTAACCAGTAAGCAGCAAAAAATAGCTATTTGTATTACTAGGGAGGAAAGTGCCACTTTTCCTCCCGCAGGATGAAGTTTACTGCCCGACGCGAAGCGGAGGGCAGTAAACATCCAAGGGAGGAAAAGGCACTTTACTCCCAAGTAATACATATGATTTTTCCGCCTCCCTCAAATAACAAGTCATTTTTAAATAATTTTCTTCGGCGCATTGCTTGAAATGTAAATACTGTTTTTCGTATTTTTCTTTAGATTTTTGGGGTAATAGAGATTGTACTGTTGCATTAACCTGTTCCAAAATATCCGGTGGTGTATTAATTATATCTTCAAATTCGCTTAAATCACTCATTTTTTAAATATTATTTTATATTTTGTAGATATATTAAAGCGTAACACACTTTGAAACTGATCTGTTAATCGACCATAGCATGCTATAATATTTCTGTCCTAAATTCGAAAATCGGATGAATCTATGAATTGAAGTCAAATTATTAATGTAAAAATCGTTAAATTAAAATAACAATTTACTGGTTTTTACTATTTTGCAAAATACAGGGTGTTCTATAAATAAACGGTAAAATTTATACTTATATAATAGAATATAGTTTAGGTCGTCAATGCCGTATAAGCTATTCCATTTATGACATACCATGACGTCACTTTTACTTTTTCTCCCTAGGGAGGAAAAGTACGACTTTGCTCCCTGCAAGGAGGTCAGAAAATGTATACTTTGGATAGAGGTAGGCGGAAAAAGTATTTTCTGAATAATTTTTTTTATTTAAATTTATAAAATCTCTCAAAAATATTAACTTTAGGCATAGGGAATGCTGTACTCGCTTGAAAGTATAATGAGGGTACTCTTGAATGGTGATATAAAATACAGGATAATTAATTAATTAAAAAAAAAAGAGAACGATATGACAGATTTCTTTCGAATTGGAAAAAATAGTGCTTCGACTATGTTGACAACATCGAATAACCTTTATCGCAAATGAATTGGTTTTCTTCTATTGTTTCTTTTGCAGTATATCTTTTTGTATACATCTAACAAATTTTAAATTGTAGCCGTCTGTAACCTACGTATTCCTCCCAAACGAATTTTTTATATCTTTGGTCGTTTTCCCATAAAGCTCCGTCCCGTTGAGCGTGAGCCACCCTGTATATTATGCCTAATTATAATTAGGCGTGTTTTTAAAACTTTGCCGCTGTCACAATGTCAGTTAGCGAAAAACATCAATTTGCGATGATATTTCGGAGCGTCAAACCCTACTTTGGACAGTGGTCGTAGAAAAACGTAATGCTTATACCTAGCTATATTGACATTCACGGAAAGAAAATTCGATTTTTAATTTTATTGACTAAAATCACATTTTGGAGGTGGCTTTTTTACTTATTTTCAGATTTTCAACTAATATTTTATTATTTATTATTTTTTAACAATTCAAAGTTCCTTGTTTCTAGAATTCATCTTATTTCTTTATTTTTTAGTTAAGGTCCATTTTATTTCCGACCTCCTTTAACAGTAGGTATATATTATTTCATTATATACATATATCCAAGTAACTAATAATTCATTATTTTAAAAATAACCTAACATGTGTTTATTTGACCGCTTTTTATGTATAAAACAACTAATTTAAAAATAAACACGGCTGCTGATTATCACATACAGTGCCTTAAAAAAACATAAACAACAAAAGAAGTAATCGATACCGCCCACTCATTCTATATAACTCACCTGGCGCATTTCCCACCCCGGTCGCTGAAGAATTTTTCTTTTTCTTCAACTTCGCCTTCTCTTCGGCACCTTTCCGCAAGCTGAACCTGAAGCTCGCCAATCTCGAAAAAAATCCGCCGAGCTTGCCCGATGCCTTCGATTGTTTCACGTCTTTGAGTGGCGCATGCGCCACGCCGCGTTGCGCATCTCGTGCTTCCATCGCATCGACTGAGCGAACTGACTTGAAGGCGCTGCTCTGCGGCTCAACATTCGTGTTATGATTGTCAATTGAGGCGCTGGCATGGTGGGGCGTTGAATTACTAGTTGCATTGTGGCCGAAGCCCATGCCGATATCCAAGTGCGTGTGCTTGTACTGAATGCCGTCGCGGTCTACGTAAGCTTTGACCACACTGCCGTCCTTGTCCTTCTTGACCAGCTGACTGCCTGCAAAAGAGAGAGACGGAATCAAAACAATGAGTCGAGTGTATGTTATTGTTGATGCGGATTGGAATGCGATACTAGAGAGTAGAAAGGCGTAAATTAGTGAACTAGCATTTTGTGGTGTGGAATTGTTACGATAGATGGAGCAGGATTGTTGGAATGGCAACTGTTTGATTTCCTTTAATGTGGTTCAAAGTTATTTCAATTAATTATTTCAGTTTGTAGACAAGTAGGTACCTACTACCTATTTAGGTAGAAACATTAGAAAGGGCATTTGTTTTATTGGAGTGGGTTAGTGAAAACGCATTTAAAGAGGAACTGGTACGGTAATTTGGAAGAAAATTCACAGAAAACTTCCTGAAATATAAAACGTAAAATATTTAAATAGGTATTCACGATAAAAATGTAGGTACCGAAATCGAAGTGGACAATGGGTCCTATGATTGAACGTTTACGTTATCCGTAACGTACATGTTAGGCCAAATTTTAAAAGTAACGAGGCAAGTTCTTATGATGGAAACCTGTTAAATTAGAACATAACAGGCGGAAAATAACAGTAATGTGTTAGAAAAAGTTTTCCATCGTACGAACTTGCCTTGTTACTGTTAAAACTCCGCCTAACATGTACGTTACGGATAACGTAAACGTTCAATCATACGACCAATTATTCGTTTTGTAGATTGTTTCCAATTAGAACAGTTTTATACAGAGTGATTTTAAACGACGGTCTAAAAATAATATTGTATGATGATCTTTAAAAATAAAAGAAATGTAGGTAGGTACCTACTACCTGATTTTTTTTTGTTTTGCCGAAATCGAATTTTTAGGGAGTCAAAAACTTTTTTTTTTATTTTTTGTAAACTACTGAATCGATTTACATCTAATTTTTCTTGGGTCATCAGACGTACCTAGGTCTAATTGTCCCAACATCATGAAATCAAAGAAATAAAATATTCACACGGTCTGATGTAGAATCCGAAATGTTGTCATCTTCTTAGGTATGTAATCGCGGTATAGTAGGATATGGACAACCCACTCGAGTTGTACAGTATATTTTTTCTACGACCCACTAAAGAAAATCTATAATTTTAAAAAATAATGTTAGGTTATTAAGACAAAATAATTAATTTTAAAATAATTTATAAATTTTACTAATTTATAAAATAAATTAAACTTTAATTCCAATAACTGAAAAATATACTGACAATTAGTTTGACAGAATTGTCACTTATTTAAAATTTAAAAATGAATAGTAGCTAGTTGGGTGTCCAAAATATGAACTGTGCTTGGTGGATATAATTTTTTGCAGTTTTCTCACTAGGTACCTAGAATGGATATGAATTTTATTCTTTCAGTTGAACGCTATAGCATACTTTTTCGTATTGTAGTCTGTGTGTAGATAAGCTAATATCTATGTGGGTATAGAAAAAGTTAATATCTAACCGTCGACACACTGATCTATCGTGTTGTGATCGTGCCAAATACTTTGCTTAATTCCAAATAAACTAAAACTGAAAGTGGGTACTTATTAGTTATTATTAATAAATAAATATTACAAATAACGTTCAATTTTAAAAATATCAGAATTTTTGAATCCGAATAGATCTTGTCAATACCTACATCACGTGATATACACACAACCAAATTTATATGGAATCACTGTATATTTCTGAATAAACTTTTTGTAAGGAAAACATTTGATATCCAACTTTAAGATAAGGCTTTATGTTCAAAACAAACATGATATAAAGAAGAAACGACTACTGCAATTTATTATCTTGTGAATGTTGTGTTCAGAAGTAAAATCACGATCCTCCGGTAATTTTATTTTGGTCCAAAAAACAACAAAATGCCTTTTGTTGGACTAACAGATGTGCAGAGGCGAAGAATTATTGCTCTTATTGAACAGGGAATGTCCCAATGAGACATAGTAGAGGTAGTAGGCGATACCCAGAGTGTTGTATCGAAAACATATGAAAGGTACTTGGAACTGGAAACTCTCAAGAACAGGAGCAGACAAAGTCGTCAAAACGTCATAACTGAACAACACCGCTTTGTGTGCCAAATTGCTAAAAGAAATCATCCAGAGCTACAACGACAACTTCTGGAAGCTACAGGTGTGAACGTTTCAGTTGAAACCCTAAAAAAAAGACTTCGCGCTCGAAGGTTGTATAGTAGGAAAGAGTTAAGGGTCCCACCGTTATCTAAGCAAAATAAAATTGACCGACTACATTGGTTCCTTCAACACCAAAACTGGAAAATTGAGAATTGGCAAAATGTTCTTTTTTCAGATGAGCCCAGAATTGTCCTAAGATCAGATGACCATTGAATTCGGATTCTCAGAGCTCCAGGAAGATTAGCAAGACTCCACGCTGCCAGATCTGTTCCAAGTCTTCAAGGAGGAACTGTGATGTTCTGAGGAATTATGCTGGGATCAAAAACTCCATTGTTACCATTTCAACAAACTTTAACCGGTCCGAGGTATGTTGATTTAGTGTTAGAACCAATCGTTAGGCTTTGGAGAGCTGCAATTGGGAATAGTTTTATCTTTATGCGCGATAATGCACCTTCCCATACCAGCAGAGTGGCTAGAGAATGTCTTGAAACGAAAGGTGTCACAGTTTTAGACTGGCCTGCATGTTCACCAGACCTAAATCCTATCGAACACTTGTGGGACCAGTTTAAAAGAAGGGTTAGAGCTCGTCGAAACAATTCAGGAAATGTCGCACAGCTTATTGATACAGCATTAGCAGAATGGAAGAACATACCCCAAGACAATGTTGACAATTTAATAAGAAGCATGCCAAGGCGAATAGAAGCTTACACAAAGGCTAGAGGTGGCAACACGAATTGTTAAAATTACCAATTTTTTTTTTATTTTTCGGCTATTAAAAATTTAAATCTCATTTCGTTTCAGTAACCAAAAAAATACCATTGTGTTTATTTTGTCAACTAATTGATTATTTTTATTGCCATGTGGGTTATTTGTCATTAAAAGTCTTTAGTAAGGACTGAGTCTCATTCATGAACATAAAATGTTCATATACCTCAAAAAATATGAAAAATAATAGATCATTCCATATAAGTTTGGTTGTGTATATAACATAACAGTATAGATTTCCTCAGAATTTCTGCTGTTCTTGGGAATGATTTATTAAAAAAATGTTTGCATTTTTAAGGTTCTATTTAATTTTCTAAAATAAAATGTTAATAGCATTTTGGCGAAAAGGCGAAAAATAAGGCTACATCTTCGTCTCGAACATAAATATTTATGCTATCAGGTCATTTGTTAAAAATAGTAGGTAAACTGGATGAGCGAATTATCTCCGCTTGGAGAAAAGCATCTAAACTAAAATTTGGAAAAAGTTCCAATCCAGTATTATTATTCAGGATGCTTTGTTTTCGATACGTTGTCAGGTGCCCATTTTATTTCCAAAGGTTTCTTTTTTCAGTCATAAGAATAATAAAAATTTAGGAATCACATCTAAAAGATAATACATGTAAGGCTTTTAACTGTTGCAAAAACCGGAGAGGCTAGCCGCCAGATTAGTGTGCATCCACATATTCGCAACAGTTAAATAGTGATTCCTCCGGTCACGTCGTGGATAGGTGACCACTGGGTTCCACCTTGGGACGTTATCACCATGGGACTTAGCTGAATAGCGTTTAACCATCCACGAGGTGGAATGAATGACAGTGAATGAGGGAGTAAATTGGTGAATGGGAACCTTCAATGATGGTACAATAAGCCACAGACAGTGCCGCCAGGCTACAGACGGATTAGGGTGATAGCACGGGGGATCCGAAGAGCGGAAAACTAAAAAAAAACTGTTGCAAAATACGTGCTCCATTTAACAAAAAAGTTATGACAATTTGAAATATTGGATATTTATTGGTTTACTGAATACTTCAGTCATTTTTTGACCTTCGCCGATAAATTTAAAAAAATATATACAGGTTAAAATATTCGACTGACAATGCTTCACTTCAGAGATCTCTCATTAATTGATGAATTTTGATATAGAAACATGCACTCTTAAAGGGCTTAGTTAGCGAGACTAAAGTTTGAAATTAAAATTCAAAATTTGCCATAAATCATAAAAGCCTTTAAATATTTTTTTTAAATATGGTAACCAATATGCTTTTTAAGAAAGTAAATATTTCGACATAAACTCACTTTAACTAGTAGCGCGCTATCAAGGTTAATAGCAACTTTTTGGAAACCTTTTTCCACTATTTTTTACGACACTGGAACAAATATTTTTGTTTGTTCATTTGTAGTTAAAAATAACCTTGTATGGACCTAAAATAAACGGTGTTGCAGAAATTCGCTTCTAAAGAAATGTCTGTATGTAATATATTGTAACGTCTCTCTATTTCTAAATTCTAATCTAGTAGGCACGTGTCAAATTTTAATAGTTCGTGTATTTGACAAAATCTTGGTAGATTAAATTTGAAAAAATATTGTAAGGCGCTTTTGATTAATGCAAATTTTTAAATTTGATTTTAAATTTTTAACATCCTGTATCTAGGTAATACCTCGACTACGATAGCGTAGGTGTATACGTCGCTCGCATTCATTTTCGAGCCAATTATATGGTACAGAAGTACAGAGACATCTACTTCGAATCGTACAGAAGAACATGTGCATTTATTTGCATGGTTCTCTATAGGATTTTATGAATGCCGTATTAGCAGAAATTTTAAGGGTTATTATTCCTATAACAAAATTCATCAATTAACGAGAACTCTCTGGAGTAGAGTGTTGTCGGTCGAATATACTAATTCTCTGTATATTACTTTTATATATTTGGTTTCGAGAAAAAAATAAAATACAACTTTGAGATTAAACCTATCCTCTTTTTAATCTATGGTGAATTTTTAATCCATGGTTGTGTTTATTCCTTTAGTTTTATTTTATTATAAGGGTAGGTACTTTAGTTGATTTTTAATCTCTTACTATTAAATAATATAATACTTCAATCTCTGAAATGAGTGAAATA